CTAGTTATAATTAGCTGTTATTTAGCTACTGCTCTGCTGGTTTCAGATTTTAACTTCATTTAGCTGAGTTTAGCCTTTTGTCAATTTTAGCTTAGATCAATATAACTTAATAAAAAATATATTAGCACTTAGTGTTATAACTGCATTTTCAGAAAATATGCATTTTTCTAGTTTATTTGTTCTTTCAGGGTTAGATCAAAATAAATGATAATTTAATACGAATGATGATAAATATCAAAATCTTTTTTTTTCTGCGTGTTTTTAATCTTTGGACTCAAGTTATTTAGGTTTAAAATATTAGATTCAATCTTGCCATATTGCATTTGCTTTGCACATTACAAATTTGCCAATGTGACTTTATTTTTTTATTTTGAGAGTGTTTGTGTTTGAATAAGCTTTTTTTTAATTCAGTTTGAAGAGCTGGTGTTGGAACAGGAGTCATCCCTGTCCGGTTCTTACAGTCAAACAGAAAGTGGAGGAACCATCTTACTACAACTGCTAGAATTTAAAACTCATCTACATGAGGTCGTTGAGGAGCTGCATATTCGAAGGGTAATGTAACAAATACAATTTTGATTTTCATATTGACCCGATATACAAAAATATACAACTGCTGTTGATGTAAACCCAGTCAGGCTCCAGAAGCCATGTTGAAGACCATGTTGCTAGGATAACCTCAGCACCACCGTGCTGCTCCATTAAACAGAACCCAAAAGTATAATTCAAAGCAATTGCATTTCAAGATTTATTTCCTTGTAACAACAGTAGTGATATTCTTATGTGAAACAAAATTAAAAACAAAAATGACACATTATGCCTCCTATTTAACACAAATATTATTCTGACTTGCCAAATCTGGGCACAAACGTTAGGCGGAGTAACTGATTGCCAAATCCTTACACTATACTATTTTTGATCTTGTTTTGATACTTCAGGGGAGCAATGGTGGTCTGCCTTATTTGAATGACAAAGTTATTGGACATCTAGTCACCATACTACACAATACTGAGAGAAATTGCACTTCTTCGACCGCACAATGGCAGAAAAGTCAGGTTCAAAAGATGTAAGAGCGATTCTCAAGCAATGATGTAGAGGCTCATTTGTTAAAGAGGAACGAGCACTTGTTTTTATGATAGTGGAAGGTTTTCATCTGTGGTGCCACAGCTGACAGCCGCACCAACAGCGTAAACATTTTTTTGCAGGTGAACATCCAAAGCAGGTGGAAAAGTCCAGTTGAAGCCACAGTGTTTAGTTAGAAAATGCCTCCGCAGGTTGTAATCCTTCGCCACAGCGCTGCATACCAAGCGAGCAAACACATCGACTTGCCTTCAGCAGTTTCACTAAAAGCTTATTTATGTGTCCACTTACTGCTGAATTTATGATTTCCAATGTCAAATTTTCTTTTTTGCAGCTTTCCGAATGACATCGTGTTGCCACGTTTTCTAACTACTCTCGTTAGCAAGCGCTACAAGCTACAAACACGTCACCAGTCCTTCCAACTGACTGCCCGGGATCAGAGATCGTCTATATATATGATGATCACCTCTGTGATGAAAATATTTCTCATTTCAGATTTTGTTATTATTCTGCTGTTTTTTTTCCTGATTTCAAATCTATTTTTATATTAAATGAAGTCATTGGCAGGCAGACTGAGTCATAGATCATTCTATACAAAAGGATTGCCTCTTGTCATTTCAAAATATTTAAAGGTCTCTTTCATGCTTTTTTTTCCCCCCGATTTTTTAAAATTTTTTTATGAACTCACTGGCGAGTCGGAATGAAGTCCCACGGGCTGGAAGTAGCCCCTGGGCCACCAGTAGAATAGCCTTGGTTTAGATCCTGATTAGAAATGCAAGACTAATGATATGCTGTGTGATGAAAGAGCTGTGTAACTTCATAAAGATATTGGGAAGTTGGTATTATAGCATTCTTAGTGGTCCTCCTTTTTATTGGAGAGATTTTACACCAGGCTGAAGGGTTAGACTTTATGTTTTTACAACTACGTAAAGAGTAAATTTGTTGGTAACAAAAACAAATAGGCTGTTTTCCTCCCCATCAGCCAGCAATTTCAACTGGATCGAGTACTTAAAGCTTAAGGGAGCAAAAATGGGATGTTGGTTGTTGATTTTATTGTTATTGTCATGTTAGCTGGGGCACAAACGCTATCCGGAGTAACTGATTCTCCTCAGGCGAAGCAGCAGTTTCTAGCTGAGCTGTTCACGGGGCGGAGAGGTTTGGAAGTGAGAGAAGATGTCCTGATGCTGCCAGACATTCCCGAGCAGGTCAAATTCCAAGGAGGGTTGCTTTTTTTGTTTTTGATAAAATTGTAACTTTCTGCTGTAGACGATGAGAACAAGGTCGACTTAACTCCAAATAAGAAAGAAGTGCGTTTATTGTGACCAGAAGAACCTTTTTGATAATTCTTACAAAAGTGACATGAAAAAAGCAACATTCGGATGCATTTACTTGGAGAAAAACAGTTAATTCTTTCAACTTCTATGTTCACATCCAGCTTGAAATGAAGATTTTAAATGATGATTTGATGATTTCATTTATTAAAGGAAAGAAGTTGTCCAAGCCAACTTGATGAATTTCATAACTGGTTGTGCCAAACTTGGCATGGGTGTTTCATCTGGCTGTGGATCCTTGTTGTTGCTGTGTTCGGGTCATTGTCCTGCTGCAGAACCCAAGTGAGCTTGAGCTTAAAGTCAGGAACTGATGGCCGAACGTTCTCTTTTAGGATGATGGCGCAGTTGGTAGAGCTGCCACCTCTCAGTGAGCAGGTCGCCCCGGTTCAAATCCCAGCCGGGGTGGTGGTGGTGGGGGCTTTCTGGGTGGAGTTTGCATGTTCTCTCCGTGCATGCGTGGGTTTTCTCCGGGTACTCTGGTTTCCTCCCACAGACCTAAAACATGCATAGGCTGACTGGAAACTCTTCATTGTCCCTAGGTGTGAGTGAGAGAGTGAATGGTTGTTAGTCTTGTTTTGTCTCCAAGTGTCCCTGTGATGGACTGGAGACCTGTCCATGGTGTCCCCTGCCTCTTGCACAGTGATGGCTGGGCATGGGCACCAGTGACACCCACGACCTGAAAAGGAAGAAGCGGGTAAAGATAATGGATGAATGGTATAGAAGAGAATTCATGGCTCCATAAATCGCGGCCAATCGTCCACGTCCTGAAGCAGCAAAAGCAGTCCCAGACCATCACACTACTACCATCGTATTTAACTGTGTGTGACGTTCCTTTTCTATTTTAAATGCAGTGTTCGCTTCAGATGTAAGGGGATCACCACTTCCAAAAAGTTCCGCTTTTGTCTTGTCAGTCTCGGGGATCATCAAGACGCCTTTTGGGCATATGTGAGACAGATCTTTGTGTCCTTTTTGCCCATCGTTTATTTCCTCTTGTTGGATCAGGAATCTGACTTTAACAGGGGCAGGTGAGGCCTGCAGGGCTCTAGATGTTTTTCTGGGTTCTTTTGGGACCTCCTGGATGAGTGGTAGATGTGCTCTTGGAGTCATTTTGGTGAGAAGCTTCATCACTGTTCAATTCTTCTAATGGCTCTGTTTAAGTGATTTCATGATTCTACAGGTCTGGCAGTAATCAGGCCCAGTGGTTTAAATACAACTGGACTCAGCTTTACAAAAAAAAAAAAAAAAAAGTTCATAATTTAACAAGAGAGGCAATTACTTTTTGCATAAGGTCAAGTTAGCTTCGTCTCTCTTATTAAATAAAATCAACATTTGAAAACCTTATTTTATTCTTAGCTTATATTTGTCTGATATTAAATTAGTTTAATGATATGAAACATTTATGTGTGGCAAGAAATAAAAATCAGAAGAAATCTGTAAGGGGCAAACTTTTTACCGTCACTGATTAAATGAATTAGTACATAAATTATAGAGGCCTTGTTCACACTACAATGGCTATTTTTTAAAAACAGATTTCTGCTCTGATTGTACCGCTCTTCTGTACGCTCGCTTAATTCCAACAAGAAAAACGGATACTTTTAAAAACTGTTACGTTCTGTCCTCGAAACATCAGTAATGGAGCCATTTTTTACCAATTTTATCTACGTCAGTCTGGTTTACTTTGATTCTATCACTATTACATTTTGATTGTGCAATAAAATGTTTAAAAACTGAAAGAAAGCTGTATACAAAGAATAAATGAATATTTTAGAAATCATGGGAATTTTGGTTTTTGTAAGCATCATCTTGTATCATCTAATCATCAATCAGTTTTGGACAACAAATATTGAAGTTTTTATACGACATCTGTTTTTTTATTTACACAGATCACTAAGCTTCATAAAGCTTCACGGTGTGTTTTTACTGTCTTGTTTTTAAATACACTCACATAGTAATTAATCCCTGGCCCCCAAAATAACAGCTTTATAACCTGTGCTCTCCTTGTTTTAATGCAGTGCCACACTGGTGGCGTATTTTAATAGGAACTTGTAAAATAAGCTCACTGAGTCAGCCAGCGCCCACATGCACATTAAAAAAAGTACCGATGTATGGAGAGCAATTGACTTTTACCTGCCTTCTCCGAGGGAAGAGGGAGGATAGGGATGGCTTTCCACAAATATCACCTCCCTTCTAATGTTCCTCTTTCTCTGGCTGCGCCTACAGAAGATACGCTGGACTGAACCAGAGAAACTTAGAGCAGTTTGCACTTATGGCTCAACTTCAGAGTTATTTGTTTAACGAGGAGAACGACAAAGTTTTTATCATCTGCCGCCGTAAGGCTGTGTGTTTCTAGCAGACAGTCTCTGAACCAGTGCATGAATCTTAATGAGACTTATTTTACTGAGCTAAAATTTGGTGTGGTAGCTGAGAGTCGTTCACAACACTGACTCTGACATCTCATGATACTGACATACTCTTTTCTTTGTGGGTTTAGTGTCGGTTTTAATGTAAAATATGTTCTTTTTTCTGTTGATTAGCATGCAGAGACACGTTTTGAGAACCAGATCAGTCAGCTGGTGTTGGAGAAACAGGAGCTAGAGTGGGCAAAGGTACAGCTTGGCCTTTACATTTACATCTTCATTCAGTTGGTTTACAGAATAACTCCATTTTACATGCAGAAAAATATATATTTATGATTCTTTTTGTCTTTTTTCCATCAGGAATCCTTACAACATCAAACTGAAACCATGACAAACCAGCACTCTGAGTCACTCTCCACTGTTAAGAAACAGGTATGTTTTCACAGTTGCATTTTTTAAAAACATTTTGTTGAATAATTTATTCTCTTTGCAGTTTCAGGTCAAATTACAGCACACAGAGGAGGAGAAGGTATGAAGTTTATTTCCAAAAACATTTGGCGCTCAGTGGATTTTATTCAGTTAATGTTAAAGTGGAGCAGTAAATTTGCTCCTGTCAGCCACACAGTCTTGGCCCTTGGAGCAGATTCTTTTGTGCTGTGCTTTATTGCTTTTTTTGACACTCACAATAATAATATCCTATTTCAGGGGAAATACCAGGTCAGTGCTGAGTTAAAAGCCAAGGAGATTAACAACTTAAAGGAAGAACTAAAGTCACTGCAGGTAATGAGATGGTCACGCTCTTGTCCCTTTGTTTTTCTTATAACATCCTAATCAGCAGCCTTAATTGTTTTAATGAGTTTTATGTTTCTCATTCTGTCGTTCATATTTGAATAACTATATTATCAATAAACAGCTCAACAAGACAAGTAGATAAAGAAAAGTCCTGTTGAATTCTGACTTAAAGAGTGTTTGTCTGCAGCTGGACACCACAAAGGTGATTTACAGCTGTCCCTACGCTCGACTGGCCTTTAACAACCCAGCTATGTTACTGAGACAGTAGACTGTTTCTGATGTTCTGTCTGGGAGACAATTTCTGAGCCGTTTGGTTAAAACTGAGATCAATCGGTCTCGCGTATCAGTGCATTAATTTTACACATTTTCACAAAAGTAACAATCAGGTGTGCAGCTTTTAATTATCATTAAATATGTAAGACTAGTTCGATTGACCCCCAGTTAATTCTAATATATTCAATATTTTGTATAGAAATAAAAATTTACACTAAAACATAATACTATAAAAGTTACTGAACTATTATAATCAATATGCACATTATTAGATTTTTATAATGCACTATTTTTTATTGTTTATTTTTGTTGTATGGGCTTTTTTTTTATTTTCAAAGGGCCACAGATAAAACGGGGTCTGCCGAAAAAGGCCGAACCAACACTCAAGTTTGCAAAAATAAATGTTTTTTTTGGTAATAAATATGATTATCATGAGCTGATAATTGTATACATTGATATTGAGCAATAAAAATCTGATCCAGATATAGTGAGATTGTACAGTTATGTATTTAACGTTAATAATGGACAGTTGCCATTAATGAAAATAAATGCTGAGCATTCCTTGAAGGAGACAGCACGGTGGTGCAGTTGGTAGAGCTGCTGCCTCTCAGTGAGCAGGTTACCCCGGTTCAAATCCCAGTCCAGGGGTCTTTCTGGGTGAAGTTTGCATGTTCTTTCCATGCATGCATGGGTTTTCTCCATGTTTCCTCCCACACACCAAAAACATGCATGTTAGGCTGATTGGTAACTCTAATTTGTCCCTAGGTGTGAGTGAGAGAGTGAATGGTTGTTTGTCTCGTTTGTGTCTATGTGTCCCAGTGATGGACTGGAGACCTGTCCAGGGTTGTCCCCCGCCTCTCGCACAGTGATGGCTGGACATGGGCACCAGTGACCCCCGCAACCTGAAAAGGATGAAGCGGTTAAAGATGATGGATGGATGGATGGATATTCCTTGAAGGAATGTGCATCGCCCCACCCCACACACATTTTAGGTCCCATTTCACAGAGGAATCAGCATTTCAGAGTCTTAAAACGGTATTCAACTTCTTCAAACGCTACCGTCATATTTTAATAATGCCAGACATAACGACAGATTATAAAAGAAAGATAAAGGCTGTTTTGTTCTTTGTGCGAGTTATCTCGCTGTGGCGACCCCTGAAGAAGGCATCAGCTGAAAGAAAGAAAAAAATCAGTAAATAAAAAGTCTGTTTTGAAAAGACAACATTTCTGTGTGGACAGGACATTAAACTAACACTATCTTACGATGAGCTAAAGCCCTTTTGGTCAAACCTCGTAAATCTCATGCGAGATCTGGCAACATCTTAAGTCAGCTGGCTTCATAACTTTACAAACAAGTGATGACGCAGTGTGGAGTAAATATGTGGTATCTTCACGTGTCCAACTGTTTTTGAAAGGATGTAACTTTTCCTTTTCTTCTGCTGTTACGCAGTTGCTGAAGTTCAACTTTGAGAAGAAATCAAGTGAGCTGGTAAGGAGGGGTTCTCCATTTATATGTACAAACTGTTGATGGAGGATTGGTGGGAGTGAGATGAATTAAACAAGGAAGACGAGTTACTTGTGCTGAGGAGGAAGAGCTCATCAGGAGTAACACACTGGGAGTGTGTGACACTTTGAACTGCCAGCGCAGCAAAGAAAAAAAACCTCTTAAAATATTTTATAACGGGCCCTCGCTCAGTTTAACCTTCCTCACAGCAGACTGAGAGGGAGTTGATGATTGGAGGCTTGGATAAAGGGATGAAAGTGAAGGGAGGAGAAATGAAAAAAGGCCAAAAAATAAGCTTGGCTTGATACAGACAATCAAACCATAATGGCAGTTTGAAGAGCAATAAAGTGCTCTGAAGCTTGAGCTGAGTTAATTATTTTATTCCCTTGAAAAAGTCAGATACAGAGTTAAACCAGCTTATTCTCAGTTTTTTCACAACTTATTTTCGCTTGTTTTACTCTGTCTGAGCAAAAGTGTTTTAATTATTTAGTATTTGCCATTAAAAGGTAGCTCCATCCACACAGATAAAATGTCATAACCTGTTTTATACGCCTGTCGAATGTGAACGTATTATAGTATAGTCTCCATCCGTCCATACGTACGTTTGTCCATAAGCTTTCTCTTCTCCCGCCCATAACTTGTCATCCGCTCAAGATAATTGAATAAAACTTCATACACTTATGCATCCTGAACAGAGTGTCACATACACTTTTCATCTTCTCAATTCCAAGGTCAAGGACACAATTAAAGGTCAAAGTTAAACAAGGCCTTTGCTTGTCTGAACCGTTATTTTGATCTGGTCAAGATATTTTAATGTATGTTTGTCAACAGACATAATGTGTCGTATGCTGTACTCTTGTGATTTGGTTTTCTTGTGAATCTTGGCTGAGTACTGCTTCTAAAGTGGTTTCAAACAAGAAAACAACATGTATTAATGACTTTAAAGAGTACCGCCAGGTCATAACTTTAACAACAGGCTTGTACTATAAGCACTACATGGTATACATGTACTTCTTACCTCCACACACTCATATCTGTGGAACTGTGACTCGGGTCTCGTCAAACCACACTTTATAAAATCAAGCTTTCATGCTCCCCTGGTATAAGAAGACTGTTTAGTATTATTCGACTATAAAGGTACTTTATTGAACCCCTCAGGGAAATCATATAGTCTTTTTTACAATTACAATGAAAGGTTATTTTTTGTATTAAATCTTTTGAAAGCACTAGGTGAAGTGCTATGAATACTATCTGCACTATTCTGTTACCTAAACGTTCCCATAGTTTTACAGATATATTATTTATCTATTTATTTTGGCTGAGTTGAAGCATTTGGCCAGAAACAAGCCAGTCAGCATGTTTTAGTTATTCAAATCTTATTCACTGTTGTTAGTGAAACAGTCTAAAGTGCCAAGAGAGGTTTTGCATAACGTTTTTGCCTCTGAGGGGGATGCTGTTTTATTTCTATCTATTTTAACCACGGTCCCTCCGCAGGAACAGAAGCTGGCCTTGCAGAATCGAACAAGGGACGCCCACCTGAACCAACTGGGGGAGGTGGAGAAAAGATTTGCTGCTCTTTCCAGACAATGTGCCATGGTCAAGGAGGCTCATGGGAAACTAGGGCACAATGGTAATAAATGACTGGATAAAAACAAAAATTGCCATCCTTTCTTAACAAAAAATCTTTTGAGTTTTTAAGTTTGTAAATGGCAGCTTAATATTAACAGTTATAGCTCTTGACTGCTCCTTAAACAGCCTGATTTTGTTTTAATAAGTAGCAAAGTGAAATATTTCACAGGAATCTGGATACAAGCTGATTTTATAATCTACTTCGACTCTGCTCATGTAGAGTTTCAACAGCACATCAATCTATGTAAAAAAAACCCCACTTTATTCTGATCATTATTTTACAATTTGAGCAGAGGTGATTGTCATGTTTTTCTTAACTGCTCCTTCAGAAAAACTCTGATAAAACTACAGTGTACCTGTGAGAAACATCGTCCTGTTCGGCTTCAAAGTGTAACAAATGTGGGCTAAGAAAGGGTTCCTACATCGTAGGATTGGTCCACCACATCATGTTGCTGCTCCTTAACTTTTCTGCTGCGGACTCATGTAGCATACTTTTGACTTCTGGGTGGCAGCTGACGGTAGCGTTCCTGTCAGTGGAGCCCAGATGGGGTCAGGTTTAACAGCCCTGTGGCCCATAATGCTGCTTTTAGAATCTGTTTGAATTGTAACCTTTGGACACTTTCCACCTGTCTGCCCTGCTGCATAAAAACAAGGTCAGACTGTTGTATTCATGCAAAGATGTTTTGTGGTGACCTGTTTTTTCTAAAGTTGACGAGGCCATGAAAATCAACACCAAGCTGACTTCTGCCAATCAAAGACAGGAAGAAACTATTGTTGCTCTTAAAAAGGTATATATTTTGTTTAAATCACATTTTATTTGTGTCACACAAAATGCGTTTGCTCAAAAATATTTAACTTCCACTAAAAGTAAATTTTTGCTTTGGATGTGTGGTGGCGTTGGTGTCTTTGTTTTAGCTTTTTGAATATGTATTTGAAGTTACTTTCTGATTGGTATTAGTTTTTTTGTGTGTATGTTTTTAATTATAGTTGTTTAGTCATGTGCTTGTGTTATTATAGCCACCAGATGTCCTCAGTTGTCCCAGTTTTCAGTTCCTGACTCACCTGTTTCCTATCCATAATCGGCACACTTGTCACTCACTAATCAGCCTTCCTTTATTTTTATTCTTTGTAATATTTTTTGTTTTTATTTTTCATTTTTTCAGATCCTCTGTGAACCTTCATGCTTCTTTTTGTGTTACCCAGCGATAATTTGCTTCAATTAAATAGTAAAATGTCTTGTTTGTTCTAGGTGTTGCTTCTGCTGTGTCTGTATTTGTCTGTAAATGTGATCGGCTCTTTTAACCAGTAAATCAACATCAGTCAACCTTCATG